TTTTGCCATTCGGTTTATCTACTCAACCAATCTTCAATGCAATATTATTATGTATTCATACAAATACTGTAGATACATTTTAAGGAGCCATCAGACCACCGCAGATGGGTCCTAATAGGGCTGATGTCGATACGGAGCCGCGGAGGACTTAACGGGTTCCCGGGGCACCGGCTCGAAGTGCAGGAGTAGACACGGGATGGTTTTTAGTCAGTAAGAGTCTAACACTCCCTCCCGCCTCACCCGGCCGAGAGAAGTCAATGGATGATGACGTACATCCCAAAAAAAATATAATAAACTCTACAAAAAAAATTAAAGTTACTGAATATCTAAACCAAGACCTATCGCAATCCAAACAGGCCATTAAACTACTTGAAAATCTGAAATAACACCCAAACCCACAAATAATACGTCACATTTTTCCTAAACCACAACTCTAGTAGTAGACTCTCTTTAAATATTCACTCTATTTAAATATTTACTTCACTCGACACTGGCAGTATAGTCGACAACACCATTTTGGAGACTCGGTTGCCAAAGAAGAAGAAAAAAAAATATACTTAGTACCTTTAACATCTAAAAATAAAGATCGTTTACAAACGACGTTATCTATAAATCGAAGTGTTTCTTGTGTCGAGATGGTATCAGCTCATTGACAAACCATACATGATGTTTTGTTATCAATAGACATAATTCAAATATTTAACTTGTTACATGTGTTTTACACGCATTTTATTGTTAGGATTCGAAGATAAAGGTAACATGAAACTATATTTCGGGTTGGTAATAAAGCGAAATTTTTTGTTAAAACAGTCTTATTTTAAAGGAATTCGATCGAGATTCAATATGATGTTATGTTATCAATAGACATAATTTAAATAATATATATAACATGTTACATAATATGTATGTTTTAAATGCGTTATTATAAGGGTTCATACATAAATGTAACATATTATTAAACATTATTTTTCAGGAAATGTCTTTGTTAAAATCTTTGTTAACGATTGTTATTTTAAAGCATTTTCATGATCCACCGGGCTTAATATCCGCTTTCGTTGTTTCTTATGTCGAGGCTGATGTCAAGTAATTTTCAAATCCATATCATTGAATTATATTTTCAATAGATATATCTATTCAAATATTTACCAGTTTCTATCCACCCGTGTAACAAGCATTATTGTTAGGGTTCATAGATAAAGGTAACAAGAAAGCGAAAAGACGAGAACTTTAAGTGAAAATCATTTTAAATCTTTGTTAACGATAGTTTTATTATAAAAGAAATTCGATCGGACTTCATTTGCCTAGTATTTCTTGTATCAAGATTGATGTCAGCTCATTGACAGTGCCATAACATGACATTATGTTATCAATAGACATTCAAATATTTACCAGTTTGCTATCACCTATGAGGCATGTGTTTTACATGCATTATTGTTAGGATTCTTAGATAGTGTTAACTTGTTATTGAAAAGGGTACTTTAAAGGAAATCAAGGAGGTTTTAAGGTTAAGCTAGGTTATGTCTTTAATTGCATTATCATTATGTTCTGTCCTCTAATGATATTTTAACAAGTTTATATTTTGTTGCCAAACAATTGATTTTCTATCGTTTGTTAGTTTTGGTTACATTTACCTGGAACATTTTAAATTAAACAAAAATCTAGGTGAATATCTTCACCGTTTTATTATAAATAATTTACAAGATTCAATATAATTATTAAAATGGTATTTACCAGAGACTGTGAATTGTCACACTAGACATAGGTCTAGTGTTAACAAAATTTTTTGTTTTGTTAACGCTAGACATTGACTTTTCGGCCAGCCCTATCAATGATCAAAGATATCTTCACAGATGATATTGCATACAAATTATCTGTTAACATCTCGTGTCACACATTTGATCTTGATTTCTCCTTACCTATGACGGCGGTAAACTTCAAAGTGTCACAGTTTCATGATTAACTCGTCAATTTGTCGATTATAATAAGTTGTTGCAATGTCATAGATTTTGATGTACGAAAATGTGAAGTGCATTATCTCTTGTTGGTAGGTGTAGTTTAGGAGCTTAAATGCTTTTATGTATTGTTTTTATCTACTTATTGAATCGGTCGTTAATACTAGGTACTCTCAGTTTTAAAGAAGTAAATGATGTATATAAAATAGATATATAAGTACATATCACATATTGACTGCACGGTTGGCGCGGTGGTTGGGCAATTGGCTTCCGCGTAACGTGTCGCGGGTTCGATTCCCGCACTGAATCTGGGTGTCATATAAACTTTTATGTTTGTAAACGCACCCACGACACAGGAGAAAATCCTAAAGTGGGGCAACGTTTTGTTAAAACTAAAACTAAACTTTTTTCAAACTAAGTAGATATATCTTATAGAAATCTCAATCTCTCTCATCATCTTAAAATCTTTCTTCATGTCAGACCAATTTACTTTTGCCGATAACAGACAGCATTACATTTATCCATTGAAAACAACACTTAAGGTATGTCATTTATTCCTTTTACAACACAAATTGATACATAACATTACTGTAAAACCAAACAGCACTGAACTAGCACTCCACACACATAATTTCACTTAAGAACAGTTACGACTGCTCCAAAGTACTTACCGGTGTGTAAGTACAGAAAAGTTCGACAACACCCGACCTTCTTGCACCGAGGACATCAAACCGATTCAACTTCCAAGTAAAATTCGAACCTAATGGCGTTTTAATAGAGCGAAGCACTTTCACCAACTTAAATCTTTGGGCTTAAAAAAGGCTTTACATTGGTTTAAAGGGATGAGTGTGGCTCAAGCGGCTCGATTGCTGCCTTTAGCTTTGGCCAATTACTCACCGCCTAGTCAAGATTACAATCGCGTTGTGTGAGCGACGATTACTGTGCCTGTCATATTTGCTTTGCTTTGTTTTCGAGATATTTTTAGATGGTTTTTTGTTCCTTGAAATACTTATTTAGGGTTATTTTTAAGTTTGTTTGTTTGAGTTCAAGTTTAATGTTCAAGTCAGATTTGTTATTGTCGTAGCTACTGTTGGTATTTGCAATAAGTAATGATCTCTTTGTTTTTAAATTGGAATTATGATTTTTTTTAAATGACAATATTCATTTTCATCATTATCAAAAATATCGGTCCATTTCTGTCTACTGTTGGGCATAGAATTTTTCAGTACTCGAATAATAACTTATTGATAAATTAAATCTTTATAATTTACTTTTCATACTTATACTTGTAGTTATTTATTGGAAGAAAATCTTTTAAAAAGTTATATTTATTAGAATAAGTAATAAATCAAGGCAAAAAGTTTGTATATCTAAACAAAACTATTTACTAAATATATTCTAAACCTCTTTGAATTTAAAGAATAATTGCGTTAGTCATTTGTTTTATTTAGCTGCGTGTTGAAAAAAAAAGTAGTAAACGTGCAGTTTAATGCCAACAATCAATAATTGTATTTAATTGTTTCCAATCGGAAACTGAAAACAGAAAAAATGGAAAGGTAAGACTACAATTTATTAAAAAGTCATAGTAAAAAAAATAAGTGAACCGGGAATATTGCAAAACCCGTTGGCATTGGCGCTTCGACACTCTTTGCTCTTATTTCTGAATATTGAATTCCCGTCGGCCGCAGATAGGCACTACAGCGTAAAAGGCAATTAAAGCTATAAATCATTTGTGTGTGCCCTTTTTTCCTACTTTTACCTTTTCCTAGCCATAACGGCAGGTTTTATGTGCTCACTGAAACACCAATGCCCGTCCACTGACAACGCTATTTGAAATATGAAAGTTGTAAAGTGATATATCTCTATCAGGCCGTTTTATGGTGCTTATTTTTTTTACTGCTCAAACAACGTCGTGTGCCGCTTTAAATCAAGCTGATATTTTAACTAAAAATGATTTATACGTGTTTGGAACTTTTGTTCGACTAGGAAGATTCTGTGTAGTTAGTTTGTTTATGTTAGTAACTAACTCTAATAGATTGTGCTAACAGATGCGACTGCCTCGTTGGCCGAGTAGTCGCAAGTGCGACTGCCGGGCAAGGGGTCTCGGGTTCGATTCCCGGGTCGTGCAAAGTATTACTGGGGTTTTTTAAAAAATCTCAGTTGTAGCACGAAGTATGGAATTGTGCCCGGTATATGGCAATAGGCTCACCCCCTATTACATGGGACTCATAACATAATAGTGAAAATTGGGTGTTACATTGTACAGTGGCATAATGTGCACCTCTGCCTTCCCCTTCGGGGATAAAAAGGCGTGATGTTATGTTATGTGATGTGTGCTAACAGATTCGTTTGGTTTTGTTACTTAGTTTTTGTTAGGTATTTACGATAGTTTAAAGTAATAGGTATGACGATTAAATTGTTATGAACTCAGGCGTCCAATAAACTGCAACGTGTACCTAATTACACGCTCTTGTCATAGTTGTATTGCCACCTTATCTTGATGCTAGCTAATTGTGGCTATAAACAGTTACAACTCCATGTTATAATTCCGTTTTAAGACTCATCTTTGTTGCAAATTATGCCTTCGAAATGGTATTATCCACGTCAGTACATTATTTTATGAAATGGCAAAATAAACATTCAATGAAGTACATTAGTGTCGTATTCACTTAACTATGAAGTAGGTACTTAAATACTAACAAACTTGTTGTAATGATTTATCAAAATAATAAAAGTATTTGTTTGTGTTCTGCTACTTGTTAAACCATCTCTTTTGAAACGTAGAGACTTACATTTGTAATGTTTGTTTATGGTATATAAAAATATATAATTGTCTACGTATATTTTTAAAGATGGAATAAAGTTTAGTCTGTTTGCTACATTCACGTGTTTTGCTTATAAAACTTTATCTTTGTTACAGTGGTCACAAGAATGTGGTACCGCGCGTGATCCGTGAACAGATCACTTGCGCGCTTACTTATTTCCACCACCGTCAGAAAAGGCATCATCATTCACCTCAGGGTGTACAAAGAGGCGCTAGCGGCCGGAATGGAGCCGCTAAGCGAGAACGGGCTCTGTCTATCCGAGCTCGAGCTGCACGGAGGGGGTCACTTGCACGAGTCCGTGGCTGCGTCCGTGGGCTCTGCGATCTCGAGCCTGATGGCCCCCTTGCACCACGAGCCGCAACATACACCTCTCCACCACGCACCGCCACTGCATCACGAACCGCTTGAAAAGCTCAAATGTAAGTGATTTGTTTTTTTATCTAAATTAGGTTCTTCAAGTTCTTTAACCATTCTTAAAGGCCAATTTACACTTAGCAGTTTTTGTCCATTTTGTTCTTGTCAGTCTTTTGATCTCATCGTATCAACGCATTTTGTTTCTTTTTCTTAGGCTTTGTTCAACGCTAAATCTAAACCAAGATGCAATGTGAAATCAAAGAATAGTTAAAATTGGTCTTGCTTATGGACCTTAATTAAAGTAGAAAATATAATACAATGCTACGCTACAACCGTTTCTCTATTAGCATGGATCTTCTCAACAGAACAGTAAGGTCCTTATTTGAACGAAATTAAATTCGTATCATCCAATCACATAGATCCGTGTAGAAACCAACGAGGAACTCTTATATTGGCGAATAAATTCCGTTTTAAACTCCACCCGGCCAGTAAATAAAATAAACGGGAGTTTTCGCTTTTCATTTCGCGACGCGTGCTCGCATACGATCGAGTCATTCGGCTCGTTTTATTTTATGAAGATATACTGGAGCTGGTAGCTTCTCCTGTCCTCAGATACGAACCTACAAAGGATTTGTTCTTGTAAATAAATGCAGTCTTTTATTTCCGATAGGCGCTAAGAAATGGTTGGAATGTTTGTACAATTAATATTGATTTTATGTAGTCTAATACTTTTAACATATAGGCTTCATAAAGATGAAGAAGACACGTACCTATGCTTAAATAGCGAAAATAATTTGATGTTTACTTGTCTTGTTTGATTTTTTAATTTTCTCCTGTTTTTACATCGCGACTACAACGTTTATAATGAACGAATCTAATAGCTTTAACGTCACTAATAACATATTTTTTATTGATACAGCAAAGTCATAAAAATTACATACGTTTTGTCATCAATACTTCATAATGGAGGACAGTGCACGTGTTACAGTCGCTGATGACTTTATTAATGGAGTGACACGCGAATAAAAAGCGGTCCATCGTCACAGGCGATCGGGCAAGAGGACCGTGACGCGATGTGGGCGCACTCTGTATACAAAATTAGGGATTATTCACATCCCACCCGCGTGACACGCAATTCAGCTCTTTTGTCTACGCCTCTACCTACATGTCATGTTACACGTCGCGTTTTTGCAAAATTCGTGTTTTGTAAACAAACCTTACCTATATCTATAGATACTTAGGTAAAGACATATAATATTAGGAAAATGAACATATGAGGTTTCGTGTATCTGTATATACCAATTTTAGGTAGATTTTATAGCTAGTTCTTATAATTCAGTGCCCCATGCAAGGAATAATGTTATGTGAAGTTAGCAATAGGTAATATAAAACTACAATTTTAATGTTTCACATACAATTTAATTTCCTAATGAACGAATTAATAATCAGTTTACAAGAAAACAATTTGTGCAATATAATCACAAGCAAATCGACACGAGTTGGGGTGCAGGGTCTAATCGGATAGTTTTTACAAACACATCAATATCGGATTACGCGCCCCCTATGTGTTTAGTTATGCAATTAGTCATGCCGTGAGGGACGACAACTTTAAAATTGGGATGAAGATACTCTTCTATTTGCATTTTTTGTTTACACTGAGGGTTCTGTGGACGCTTGTTTTAAGTACTTACTTATAATACTAACATCATCGAATAGTTACATTTCTTCATGGCAATAGATTCTATGGCAAAAGGTTCGTTACTTATTTCCTAACCAGTATGCTTTTACTACTCAATAGTTGTTGCATTTTTGTTTAGGTTCATTTTATTATACGTAAAATTTACTAAGTATTACGTAAATATTTCCATATGTGCTATTATATATTTTGCACGTGAAGCTGGACGTAAACGCAACGATTTGCAATCCATCACAGTCAAACAAAAAGAGCAGTTGACGCAATCATTTAAAGTCAATTTGAATGGATCGGGTCATCATCCCTCTCTTTTACAACACTACGTTTTTAATAATACAAAGTTTTCTGTCTCACTTGCACACAAAAAACAACCCTCCGGAGTCGGTGAAGCATTATATTGCGATGATTAGCCTTGCACTTGCCGCGTTTGCCATTGAATTTAAATGGGGGATTAAAATGCTACTGTGTGCATTATATTATTAAAGTTCTATTGTGCGTTACTTCATTACGCGATTAATGTCGTCATTCTATCTTTATTTGCTTTATCAATCTCACTTTCGTTAGTTTTATTACGGAAAAGAAAGAAAAGTTAATTTTAGTGCATTTCATTCTTAAAAATAGATGCAAGAAAATGCTCAAACGATCCGTTTTTATTCGAATGGACATATTCATAAACTAGTAGATGTCCGTGACTTCGTCCATTTGGAATAGTGTTTTTCACAACTCCTCTCGCGCGGGTGATAGCGTGATAATATGCAGCCTATCTGTTGACCTGACCTGTTTGTAATATTCATGCAAAACTTGAAGTAAATCTATGCAGTATTTTTTGAGTTTAGCCTGGGCATACACACAGACAAACAGACAAAAAATTTAAAAACTAAATTTTTGGTTTCAGTATCGATTGTAGATTAAGCCCAAGTATTCCTTTAAAAAGATATTGAATGTACAGTTACGACCTTTCTACGATTTTATTATTTAAAAATATAGGAAGAAGGATTTTATAAATATGTCTTACAATTAAGTATCGGTTAGTCGAATATATGCGGACGCTACCTTAATTCAACAAGCTCTTGATTGGATCGTAAAAAGTCGTTGTAAAAATTGTGTCTCGATTTTTTTGCATATGCGGTTAAAAAATCCCATCTGTTCTGCGTATGATATCGCCTTCCCAAGCTTATCCGTCGAAGATTGTTCCTATATCCCGAGATTTTTATAAAATAGGCGAAAAACACGTTTCGTGGCTTTAATTTTAAATTGATCAGGTTTTGCGGAATCTTATTAAAGCCTCTTCGTTCGTTGATTCTGTCGATGCCTTTTTTCACCTCATCCGCAGCTAAACCGGGGGCGGATCTCATTATTTCCTTGGAACAAAATATGGGAAATTAATTAGGTGGGATTTCAGAGCATTATTTTTTCATGTTTATCATTCTCACGTATGTGAAAATGAATATTGTTTTATTCTACGATATTTTCTCTGGATTGTGTAGAGTTTCACGAATGTTTATGTTTTTACTGGAAACAACAAATCTTACGAGTAATATTGCGTTCATTTCAGAATTATTGTAACTATAATTATGTCTCATTTAGACAACTATAGCTCCATCTAGTTGACGTGCACCTAAACATCGGGAGGTTAATTAATTTCACGGTATTATAGGATATAAAAATAATCCTCGGTCATTAAATAAACAAAACAATGATTATGGAGTCTATTATACATATTTAATAAGAAAAACAAACGTTCGTTTTATCGATTAACCAACTTTCTGTTGGGAAGTTTGCCAAACAAAGAATTGGGAAGCTCGGCTCGCACCGTGGCGCGTCTTGTCGCACGTAATCAACCATTTTGTGATGTGAAGGATTACAAGTTGCCACCGAGTAAGATGTTACGCTCATTTTGGACTAATATTCCAAGTAGCTTGATTAATTTACGATACTTTCTAATTACGTTACACTTTCATACGAGCGAATTGCGTAATTAATTGAAAGAATATACCTAATTTACATAAATATGTACTATATGCTATGTGCTATAGATGACTGACGAGGTTCAGAAAATAGTTTTATCTCTACGACGCCTGTTTAGGTTTGATTTGAGATATTTTTGGGGTTTACAAAAGAGTTTTATCGTAATACAAGTATGTAAATTGAATGTTTCATCAAGTAGGTTGGTATGCCCGTGATGTGTGAGGCCACGGGCCCAAACAAATATTTGTTGTGTTAGTTCACGTCTCTGGTCGAGATTACTGACTTTATCTAAATGTACCCAAATCTGACCGACGCACGCGCACGTAGCTAACCCACTAAGATGACAGGATATTAGTCAAGCTGGAATTTAACTCGTTTCAGTAGATAATCTTCTGTAGAATTGTTTAGTATGAAAATTGTATAAAATCAAAAAACATTTTACTTCCGCTAGAGTTTTACAATTTTTATATCGACAGACACATTTTACTGGTGCCTATAGAAAATGCCTTGCTTAATCAAGTCTAAAGATTCACTAAGAAACAGTTAACCGTTAAACGGTTTTCTGTAAACTCAATAACTAGTAATTCCTAGAAAACCCTAGCCCTAGACAGCACAACTGTAGGCACCGTTTGATCCATACTTTTTCTGACGCGGTTTTGTTTTACAAGATATAAAATCACGGGCAGACATTATTTATCTGTGGACTGACAAAAAATACGCAAAAACCTGGTGCCACACTGTCTGACGTAGAGACGGGCGCGTACTATAAAGTATTTTTTCTATGGGTGAAAAAACTGCATCCCCCTGTGTGTCATATGAGCCTTACACCGGGCCCCGTTGTCGCCCGCTTTGATCGCAGTCCCTGGTGATAAATTAATATGACTTTTTTTGTAATTGATGTTTAGAAAAACACTCTGACAAATTTTGCGTTAGATTTTGTGCGGTGGTTGCTGATCGGGCTTGCAAATTCAAGATCAATATTCGTTGGCTATTGTATTTACATTTTAGTAACGCTAGTGTTTCGTTCTTATAAACTATGTTATCAAGCTAGTTATCTTCTCCATAACTTTTGATTTTGGTGAGTAGAAGGAGTAGGTAAGGACTTACCTCAAAAGTTTGTAGAAACTAGCACTGTTTGTGGTGGAATAGTCTTAAATCAATCTGTTTGACCATGTTTAGCAACACAACAATGTTAGTGTTGAGTGTTATGCCTCTAAGCTCAATTAAACCAATTTTATTAACCCTTGTCCTAATACTTTAATCGCTTCTATTCCAAATCAAGTCAAAAGTGATAATGACCTAACTCATAACACATATTAGCATGTGTACAAGCTATTAAACATTGTCAACGGCAATTAGTGAAGGCGAAACTAAATAAATAAAAAGCTTGGCATACCTCGGCAG